GTTGCATAATTTTCAAAACTGTGCCACTTGTCGTGCATTACAAGTTCACGAGTTGAGTAACGTAAAACAGCAAGCGTGACTGCTTTTGCCGCCCTGGCAGAATATCCTCTCTTGTTTAAACACATTTGTATACAGTCCATACGTGTAGTTGGAACATTGCTGGGTTTCCGTGCACTTGTTTGGTGTGAGGATGAATTAACAGGTTTGCGCCGCTTGGGTAGCTCCAGTGTTGGTTGACCGATTTCTTGAATTAGTATGGGAAACCGCGTTCTGGCCGCCAGTAGGGCGACCAAAGTGAGTTGTAGGCTCTGTGTTTGTCTGATTTTCTGTAATACTTGAGGTATTATTGCTGGCGGCGGAAACGCTGCGTGCGCATTGAGGCCTTCCATGATAGACTTAAGGCGTCCGTTGCCCAAGCTTGGGGTCTGGGACTGGTGACACGAATGTCGGTAGCTGATTGTTGAATCGGCGTGGCGAATAGGTCTATTAGCGGCGGCTAATTAATTGCTTGATTATCTGTGCAAAAATTTCCCGGTTGATCATCCACTCTGTCGGTGATGGTAGATGAGGCCGAGAGAGAGCGTCTGCTAGTATATTTCTGGCTCCGGGAATGTGCACTGCTCTGACATGTAGATTTAGATCTTGTATTAAATCGAACAGTTGAAAGCTTAGGTTCAAAAGGTTCATCGATCTCGTTGAGCCTTGCTTGTTTATGTAGAACGCCACTGTCGAATTGTCTGTATGGATCATTAGGCTGCATTTTGTAGAAATGTGCTCCAATGTAGAATGGCGTTGATTACAGCTTTCATTTCTAGACTGTTTATATGGAGTTTGCATTCTTGCTGATTCCATAACCCTGATATCGTGTGGTTGGTGAGATGAGCTCCCCAACCTTGGAGTGACGCTTCTACATACAGATGGGTTTTGTATTCCTGCTCTGCTAAACAAATCCCTTCGCAGACATTCGATTTCTTGGTCCACCATAGTAGATGTGGTCTGAGATGTTTCGGTAGACTGAATGGTTGTACATCGTTGAGATGTGCGTTGATGAGGACCTGTAGGGGACGTAACTGTAATCTGCCTGTGACAGTCATGTCTTGGGCTGATGTGAGAAGACCTAGTAGGCTCTGCCATTGTCGCAGTGGTAACGGAGAGAGTAGAGCTGGTGGAATGGTCTGTTGTATCTTGAGCCAACGGTCTTCTGGTACCATAATACGGTTGCGATTTGTGATGAATCGAATACCTAGGAACTGTAGGTCTTGCGATGGTACTAGGTCCGACTTGCGTAAGTTTACTAACCAACCTAGTTGTGTTAGTAGCTTTATGATGTAATTTAACTGTAGTTTGAGACGCAGTGGATCTTGATCTACTTGTATCCCGTCGTCGAGGTAAAACGCACTGCGTAGCCCTTGACGATGTAGAAATTTGATAATCGGTTTCGTTATCCTCGTGAATAGCCAGGGGGCTGATGATATTCCGAATGGGAGTACTTTCCACTGGTAATGTAGCCCTTCTAGAGTAAATCGTAGGTATTTCCTGGAATTGGGATGAATGGGGATGTGCAAGTAGGCATCCTGTAGATCTATGCTGCCCATGTAGTCCATAGGGCCGAATCATCTGGCGTAACTGAGGTAAATGTATCATCTTGAAACTTCGTGGTTTGCGTAGATAGTTCTTGTTGAAAAAGCTCATGTTGTAGATGAGTCTGTATTTCTCCGTGGAGTTTTTCTTGGGAACTAGGAAAACTGGGGAGTAGAAACCTGGTTCGACGCTTTGCTTGATCTATTACTTCTATGGCCTGTTTGGATAGGAGTGATGAGACAGCCTCTTTTATCTTTGGTAGTTGTTGCTCTTGTAAATCGAACTTGGGGGGTTTGATTGTCAGCGGAGGCTTGTCCTGTAGAGGGATACGAAATCCGTGTTGAATAATGTTGGAGACGTAAGGATCTTGCAGTATTCCCCAGTTTTCCCAGTGTAGTTGGAGGCGTCCACCCACTTGAGCTGGTTGTACTGGAACGGCTGGGGGTGGAAGACTCCAGTCGTTCCGAACCTGTGTTTCAGCGTCTATAATTGCGGGAACCTCTGGGTGTCCTGCCTCTTCCTGATCCTCCTCTATAGTTGCCATATGGGCGACGAAAAGAATCTTTACCTCTAGAGCTGGCTATCTTCCTGTCTCTTGCTCTTTGTAGGCCCGTGAACTTAGATCTGCCTGAGTATCTTTGTGAAGTCTGACGAATGACGCTGGCTAGTGTGTCCATCGATCTAATCATAAGGACTTCCCTGGAATCCTTAGAGACTTCCTTGGCGACCTTGTCGATTTCTCCGTCAAAAGATGGATGTTGTCGACCACGGGGCTGTATAAAGTGGGGCTGTAAAGTTCTCCCCCCAATTACAGGAGGCGAGGAGGCCTTGACGACGAGCTAAGGTCAGTGCTGCTGAAACAGATGTAAGATGATCCGTTAAAAACTGCTGATCTTTCTTTTGCATAAGTAAGGCAGAATAAATCATTCTATCATCTTCCGTCGTGGAATCCCGGAATCTAGTAATAAGAGTCTCATTGATCGTCCTAGATCTATTTAACCCAAAGAACATACGTCTCGTCATGGTTTCTATATGAGCCAACTTGCGATCATCCATCTTGTAAATCTTGTTCTTTACATCGCTGATGATCTTATAGTTCTCATCGATGTCCTGGGCCTTGTAGAAGGAGTCCATGTTATCGTGGAGAACTTCTTGGCTTGAAAGTTGGGTAGATGTGGTATCTGAACTTTCGTAGCTTTCTGGAAAGCTGCATCTAGATTCTGTGGCACTGCCGCTAATCGGGTCGATCGGGGTAGAGTGATTGCATCTGGATCATCTTCCTTCATCAAATACGTCTGAGCTGTATTGCCACTTTTAGATGGTGATGTGAGATCTAGGTTATTGACCATCCAATACCGTATCTCTGCATCAGAAAATATGATTCCTCCATCATCCTCAAAACCATCATCATTAATAAATTGTAGATGCTCTTCGGGACTGCGTGTAGCTGTCTGAATATCTGATGAGGTTTGTGGCGATCTAGTTGACTTGTGCGCCGCTCTATGTGGAGATCTGATGGGTGATCGACCTGGTGATGAACGGAGTGGAGATCGTCTATGGGATGATCTTCTCGGAGACTTGTGAGGTGAATGTTGATAGCTTCGCGAAGCTCTTCGGCAGTCCCTCGATGTTCTTCTAGACGATGAAGATCTGGAATCATATGTCCTTCGCGAATGCCTTCGCGAAGCTTCATTTGCGTCCGGTCCGGGGGATCGATGATATGACCTTCGCGAAGGCTTCCGTGATGTCTGATGGTCTGAGTCCATATCTAGAGATGAAATCGAAGATGGTGATGATCTCTCCCGCCTTCGCGAAGGCCTTCGCGAAGGCTGTACATCTAGGTCCTTCGTCAAGGTGGTGCGGGACTTCCTTCGCGAAGGTGACATCGTCTTGGCTGCTACGTTGACGGGGGGTGCCTCTGGGGTGCTGTCTACGTTGGAGCCTTCGCGAAGGCTCGGACCCTGCTTGCGCAGTTTGTAGTGGTCCTCCATGATGTTCATAATCTGCCGCATCATGTCTTCTGGGATGATCTGTGACGAAGTCGTCGGCGTCTTTTCTGCGATGGGGTTCACATCAATGACGTCTGACGTCGGTGTAGAGGCATCAGGCTGCATGGAGATCTCTGCAGAAGTCACAGTCGCTGACACCGGTCGCTTCTTCTGCCGTAAGTCGGGGATGATTATCGGCTGATCATCGTAGAGGCCCAACTCTGCTGCTGGAACGATCTCGGCTGAGAAAGTTCTTGCTGTCTTCGTAGATTTCCCTTTGGAAGTCTGCGCTGCCCTGGGTGTCCTCAATCTGCGTTGAGACGACGATGAGGCCCTCTTAGACTTAGTCTGCAATGACGGGATGTCTGGGGAGGCCGGTCGTTTCTTCGAGGTAACGGACTGCGTCCCACGTTCCTCTGCCGCAGGGGTCTCTAGCAGAACACCAGACGGGAGAGGGTCGATCGCTAGCAGCTGACTGGAAGGAATATCTGGACTCTCTGCCATGTTTTGCCCTTGTTTGCGTGATCTATCTGCAGCACGTCTTAAGACGCAAAGATGATATTTATTAAATGCAGAATGAGATAAATTAATGCAGTAACTGCAACGTGAATTAAACGCACACGGCGTAGAACAACTAGGGCATATTACATGTGGATCGGAGGCAGAAAAACGTAATCTACAAATCGTACAGATTTTCATGAACGTAAAGCTAGCTGAACAATCACGAATACACGTGAATAAACAGTAGAAATACGATAATTAATCAATACAAATAGTAAAGGATACTAGCTATACCTCTATAGTAACCTATGAGAGGTAAAAACTAAGAGATTATCAAAGGATATGTGTGTAAGGAGACACAAGGCGCTCTCACATCCTGCTCACTGGGCGAAGAAGGAGAGAGTGAAGCACATGGCCAGAGGGTGGCGACACCTTTTCCCGCCAGGGGAGACAAAGGGGAGCAACTCGTGGTGAGTACCAATTAGTGATTTTATTTTGAAGGGAGCTTCAAATAAGGAGATACAAGTGTTCCACTATGTTCGCAAGAAGAAGAAGACAAGCAAAAGAGCATGAGTCAGGATAAGGAAAAATTTAGTTTATTAATAATATTGTACAAACCTGTTGTAAAGAAGTAAGAAATGACTTTAGCTTGCAAACTTAAACATCATTTTAGTCTTTCTGTGTTAATACTGGACTAGTCCATTTGCTTGTCAAACCAGTGCTTGTGCCAACAACAAGGGATCATGGAATAAATAAGAACAATGAAAAGTAGATTCACAAATAGTCAAGGATATTCAAGATAGTTTCTGAGGAGGTGGCAAATGAACCTTGTAAGAAAAAGTAATAAAAGTACATCAGTCTCTTGTGGCTCATGCTTTTGAGAAGTTTTAACCTTTTCACCTGCTACAAAGTAGTTCATATGCTACCCACCTCAATCCTCTTTTCATACTTTGGTCCACGGATGACACGCTGCACATAAATGTGGGGTACATGGACATCTTCTGCAGGGATTTCTCCAACATCCACAATCTCTTCCACCTCGGCTATGGTAATGTTTGCAGCTTTACACATTGGTGGGTTGAAGTTCCGTGCTGTCTTCCTGCAGTGTTGCAATTAGTCATGGTCACTGAAACTTTCAGCTCTAGTACGTCACACGAATCCTAAACATAAGTGAGTGAGTGCGTTTAGTGTTACGCCGCTTAGGGCAATATGAAAGCAATATCGTAGTGGGGGTTCACACATGGAACCCATGTCGGAAATCGAACCCAGGTCTTCCACGTGATGAGCGAACGCTAACCATGAGGTCACCAAACGCCCCCTAAACATACAATCAAGTCTGAAGCAGACTATCAGCATCGTTCTACACAGCTGGGAAAATGAATACATCCAATCAACCAAACCATTTAGTATCTTCTGGGGACATGCATAGGTTGCTAAGTACCTATCCTCCAACATGGAATCTCCACAGGTAAGCCAATCAACTTGTAACAGACACTACTGGAATAAAGTAACTGTGCATATTTGATATTATGCCATTTTTTTAATGCCAAAAGATAATAACATGAATTGTGGTAATTTGACACTAGGCATCGTGACATGTCCTTGAAGAGATGTGGTGTCAAAAGTCAGTTCACAAATTCAGTATTTGGGGTGTTCACCATTGGCGTCGATGCAGGCTTGACAAGGACGACGCTTAGAAAATATGAAGCGATTCAAGAAAGCTTGGGGAATGTTCTTCCATATCTGAACCCATGCTTGTCCCAATTCAGCTGTCAATGGCAGATTGTGGGTTTGACATAAACATTGTTCCATTTAATCCCAAGTATACTTGAAAGGGGACATGTCCGAAGAAACAGCTGGCCAGGGGAGTACCCGGAATGTTTTGCTGTATCAGGAAATCTGTCACAACACGAGCAACATGTGGATGGGCATTATCTTGCTGAAGCATGAAGTTACGTCTCTGTTCTTTTTAATTTGGCCCTTCTTTGCTGCAGAACGTGAAAGCCTTTAAACATATGTCAAGATTTGTGGGATGATATCAGAGTTTTACTGGATCGTGATAAGTTTATTCACATTCTAAGTACACCAGATATTGTTTATGATACTGCTAGCACCTGTTACTCTATTTTAGCCAAACGGAAAAAGCTTTTATATAGTTAATTTCCGTACATATCGTCTACCTTAATATATGTGCATATAATATCATGAATCATTATACTTGTCGTTCATCTTCTCTCATAAATCGCTGGGCGTTTGGTTGTGTACATCTGTTTTATCTTTGGTGTGTTTTATGAGCATGCATATATGTACACAGGTGAGACGTTAAAAAACATTTGATTGATTGATTGATTGGTTGTCCTTGAATAAACAGCTGCACATGAGGCCCAATGATCTCAGACTGACAATGACAATGACAAGTTGTGTCCGACCATGAGATGTGACGTCCCCCATACCATAACGCTGCTGCCGTCAAACTATCGACATTGAACAACACAGTGTCCCACGCATCAGCATACCGTTCACCTTGCCCTACCATCTGGGCTGTCAACATGATATCTCGACTCGTCAGTGAACAAAACACCATCCCAATCTCGTCTCCTGTACCACAGATGCTGTCTGCACCAGGCAAGACGTGCCTGTCGCTAACGTTGGAGCAAAACTGGACTTATTGCAGGCCATCAGGGCCAGATGTTGTTTGTAAACCAGGAATGGTCAGAGCAGTCAAACTGGCAGTCCGGAATTGATTCCTTAGATGGGTCAGCCCGATTGTGATTGTCTTGCTTGATGTGATGTTATGTGTGGACTGCCTGTCCGAGGCAAATCTCTAGTATTTCGATTATTTTGAAAACGTCTCCATAGAAATGAGATCGTGTTTCGATGTACACCAAAATGTCTGGCCACTTCATTTTGGACCATTCCAGTCTCCAGCATACCCAAGGCACAGAGACTCTGATTTGCTGTAAGGTGTGGCATGATGTACGCATACTTTAGGTTGAAATTAACGTGTTTTCCACAATATTCAGGAACTACTTACTTGTTTGACTAAACTTGTGCCAGTACCAACCTGAATGTGAGATTTCCTGCTTTATCAGCCTTCCAGGCCTTTACCAAGGCAAAATCCCCTGTAATAGCCTCCTCCATGATGTATGGGACACCACTGAAAGTTCGACTCTGTCATACAGAGAAAGGGGAACTTATAATGTACAACAATACAATGGGTAGACAGATTCATTGAGTTACTGATGTGAGTGAGGTTCCAGTAGTTGTGATATACAGATAGTCGCATACACTCACTGATAAGAGTGAGTTACTGGGACATGTGTTGTAAAAAATGGTCTCATATTGCATCAAGCTGACCAGACTAAAGTATCCTTGCGGTGCAACGTCTGCCACGAGTACACAACAATCAAGAAGCCAGTAACAGCATAAGACAAACAATACAAAAGATTTAGAATGATATTTCCAGAAACGTCTATGAATATGGTTTGCATTGTGAATCAAGAAAATGTTGCATATTGAGAATAATGTGTACTACAATATTACCTCCCTTGGATTGCTGGCAATATCAATGGAACCATCTGAGTTGTATTTGATGGGTGCCCCGCCTTCATGTATGAGCGTGCCAGCCAGTGGGTGTGAAGAAGGCTGGAACACCAGCACCACCAGCACGGACCCTCTCAGCAAGAGTGCCCTGTGGTATTACAAAATGTTACTCAACACTCATAAATAGTAACATCATTAAAAAAGGACATATGCTTTATCCTTTCAATACTAGGAACTCATCTCAAATCATACATAAAAGCTAAAATTTCCTTTCAAAGAAATGAAATCTTCAAAATATCAGTTCCTTACAAAATGAACAAGTATATTTTTTAAATTTTATGTCCATGGTTCTGTGATCTCTTTCTTCTTTGTGGTACTCCACGTGCTTTCCACAGGAGTTATCTGCGCAAACGAAGGTGTGGGGAAACCTCATATTTTCAAGAAAGGTAATCTCGGATTTCTGGGGGAAGGATGGGTGGGAATTTACCTCAAGTGTTAGAGGTAGTATTCCAAAATTCTTACAAATGCTTTCCTCTCATACTTGACTGCAGAATCCCACATAGACCTGGTGGGCCAAGAGTACCCTCTAACTAGGTTAGAAAGACAACCATAAACTCACATACATAAATGTTTACCGATAAAACCTGAATTTAACATTTCTGGCTGCTGTATTTAATATTATAGTGGACTATGACATTATTTCTGGTTTCTGGTACTTCTGATGATGTCATGATGATGTCATGATGACGTCAATATGATAACACATCCAGTTTATATGCCATCCATTCAAATGTGAAGACAATAAATCATATCCCTGACTGGAGAAAACCCATTTCCAATTTTAGTCATAGTCTACAATTTGAGGCGTTAAACTCACTAAATGCAGCATGGAAAGTTTTCTTCATAACAAGAAACTGTCATTTGCTGTTCCAGATCTGACTCTCCACTTCTGGAATGAGTTCCACTTGATGTCATACAAGGCACATGTTGAAGCTCTAACAGACTGGGGGGCGGTGAGGTAGCCTAATGGTTAAAGCGTTGGCTCGTCACGCCGAAGACCCGGGTTCGAATCCCCACATGGGTACAATGTGTGAAGCCCATTTCTGGTGTCCCCCGCCGTGATGTTGCTGGAATATTGCTAAAAGCGGCGTAAAACCAAACTCAGTCAGTCAGTCTAACAGACTGAGTAATAGCTGAAGAAACATCTCGTTTGACTTCAGCTGTCTTTGAACTGGAAAAATCTTCCGTTGACAGTAAATAAGTACATGTCTCTGAGAGTCTGGATGGATTTGAATGGCATCCGGCAGATCTATGGAGATCATCAATGAACCCTATAGAAATCATCTGTCTGAGGTTCCATATGGCCTCCATCTGAAACTTGGGGAGTCGTTCCAGGTATTTCCAGTTGAGGATCTTAAGATCCATTACCAATATTCTGCAAAAGACGATAAACTGCCATCCACTGTACCTTGAACATTTGTTGAAACACCTTTATAGGAAATATGAACATCTTCTGCACATGATCATTGTCTATAGTCAAGGTCAAGGTCTGTGCTGGGAAGTTCGGGATGAGTTGAATCAGTTTAGGCCTGGGCTTTCCATCCGGATAGCTGTGGATCATCTGCATAGCATCTCCAGCAATCTCCATTTCAACAGTTCAGATGAATAATCAGCTTTGCTAGTTGAAAGCATCTTTCGATTTCCCAAGACAAACCAATAGTTCAGACACTGAATACTGTTGATCAACCAAACTATTCCATAAAAATTCCCAAGTCTCCCTTCCTTCATGGATAAATGTTCCTGCATTTTAACTGCTAATCCTTGAAATCCTTTAGCAAGGGAAAACATTTGGACTGGAAAATCTGTTATCAGTCACATAAGAATCCTACCCGGAAGAATGGCCCAAATGGTCTGGATACTTGAGTAAAGACATTCCCTTATTAAAATCCTTGAAGATCTTAGACTAGAAGGATGACTGAGGTAATCTGCACTTAGCTCTAGGTCTGGTGTTGAAGAGAGGTGGCACTGATTCCAGAAATAGGACATCTGGAGTTGCCAACTTCTCAACAAAGAATTATCTGGCTGAATTAAAGTGTGAGGATCTCATTCTTAATTCCTTAAATGTGAAAGCCATATCCCCCAAAGCATCTGTATAATGCCCCATATAACTGTGAGAAGAGTTATCTTGGGATGTAGGGCTTCCAGTATTGATGGATTTGCCTGGTGTGCCAGGATTAGATTTCACATGAGGGATGCTTAGCTGAGTCCAACTAATTATCTATAGTCTGCATGCACCATGCTGTATACATATGTTAAGTCTATCCACATATTCAACAACTACCACACAACTCCAGTGTATGAACTAAGCCAAAAACCCAGTCAGACACCAAATGGATTCAACCAGACCAGACAATCTAAAGAAAATAACTAAATGAACCTGATACACGTATTTACTGTCTAAAAGTCTATTCACAACAGTCATTTTCACAGAAATCCGAAAATAGATTTTAAGATATGGTGAATTTACTCAGATGTATGGTACATGTTATCTAAACATTTGACCAGACCATTAGGCGGTACCCTGTTTACCCTACCTGTGGTGTCAGTTCCACTTCCAACTCCCCAGATAAATATTGGCGCTCAAACTCAGCATTTTCTCCAACATAAGATGAGATCATGCGCTTGATCTGGAATGAAAGATGCACATTTATACCATTATGTACAAAACCTTACATGCTGGCACTTACTATACCAGTCTTTACAATCACATACACACCAATATGTGAAACTATACACATACCAGTATTTACAAAAACAGATGTACCAACATTTACAAACACACATACCAGTCTTTACAAACACACACTTACCAATCTTTACAAACACACAAATACCAGTACCCGTGAAGGTCCGGGTTAGAATATTGATCTTCAGTAACCCATGCTTGTGGTAAGAGGCAACTAATGGGATCGAGTGGTCAGGCTCGCTGACTTACATGTCATCGTTTCCCAATTGCGTAGATCAATGCTCATGCTGTTGATCACTGGATTGTCTGGTCCAGACTCGATTATTTACAGACCACCACCATATAGCTGGAATATTGCTGAGAGTGGCGTAAAACTAAACTCACTCACACATACCAGTCTTCACAAACACACACAGACCAGTACTTACAAATACATACCAGCAATTACAAACACACACACCAGTATTTACAAATCTGTATTTTACCAGATAAAGTGTAACCACAATATTAGTAAAATCTAAATATTTTTTCTATTTGTATACTTATCCTGCACTACTTACTTCCTGCACTTATTGCTTACGACTTGAAACGTGGCTGTGCCAGACGATTGATGGTCTCAGATAAACATCTGTCAGCGCACGCATCACCGGAAGGTGACGTCAGCCACCTCTGACTATTGCCGTAAATCCCACAGATGAAGATGAAAAGGGGATGTAGCTGAAAGCGAAGGGTGGGCCCTTATCCTAAGTAGTGCAGGATAAGTATACAAATATATAAAATTATTTAGATTTTACTAAATTTTTAACTAATCCTGCACTACTTACTTCCTGTACTTTTATCGGACAGGAAGGATGGAGGGCGTGTCATCTGTGGGGATCACCGCAAGGTATACAAAGACAGCTCAGTCAATGTTATCAAGTGTGCCGCGGTGGTGGAAAACCGTCGTTGCACTTACAGCGGACAGCGAGTGATGATCAGTCAGAGGTAATACGCATATGAGACATGTAATCTTAAATGGAATATACCACACAATTTTTAAAGTGTTATTAACTTTTGGGAAATGCAGTAAAAAGCAGTGACTCGAGTTAACCCAAGTGTTACTCCTTAACTGACATACCCAATTGTTCTCCTGGAACAACTTTCCCACACGACGTCAGCATGCTTCATTGGAAGAAAAAACATGGTGGAAGGTATCTTCGTTGCACCTAGACGAATACTCAATGGACAGTGGTTATTTTTCAGTGGTAATTCGCATATAAGACATGTAGGCTTAAATGGAAAAGACCACATGATTTTTAAAGCGAGATTAGCTTTATAAATGCAGTATAAAAGCACTGACTTGAGTTTTTCCAAGTGTTACTCTGTAACTGACATACCCAGTTGTTTCCCTGGGAGCAACTCCTTTCCCACACGGCGTCGGCATGTTTCATGGGAAGAAATATCATGAATGAAGGTACCTTCGTGGAATCTGAGGGACTATATCTCAGTGGTAATTCGCATATAAGACATGTACGCTTAAATGGAAAATACCACACAATGTTTAAAACATTAGTAGCTTTAGGGAATGCAGTAAAAAGCATGAACTTGAGTCTATCCAAATGTTACTCCTTAACTGACATACCCAGTTGTTTTCTCAAAACAACTCATTCCCCACACAACATCGTCATGCTTCGTGGCAAGCAACAATGTAGGAGATGATAGCCTTCGGGGAGTGGTGAGTTGCTGGCCTAGAACCAATGGTCCGAAGCGTTGGCCACATCATGTGGTGTGGATAATGATTGGCGAAGACTATGTCCGACCGCTAGAAACACTCTTTCATTATCAATGGCACTGTACCGTTACTGTGAGGTGCCATAGTAGAGGCAAGTGTACGAATTACATGAGGATGGCGTAGATGTAGGGGAAACCAGACCAGCCGCATTATACGCATGAATAATGGTAGTCCGTATCCACAAAACACTGGAGGTTTTGCTTACATGCCTCTGATGGCTTGGGTTCGATTAATGTACAAATTAAGTACACAAGCTGAACACAAGAGAAACACGTGAACGTCTTCAACAGACGATAAGGGCGAAATAGAGAACTGTCGATCATTTCGCCCTGGCAACTGGTTTGTAGTGATGAAATCCCAATAAAATACCCAGAGGCACAGAACCATGACTGTGTCGTCCAGACTTGACTCAATTAACACCAAGTGCATGACCCTTGTCACTATCGCTGTGCAAGTCTGCAAGGGAAGTTTTCATGAGTGGCTTGTAAGACACACCGCATAGGCGGTCCAGAACCATGTTGAGGTTCCTCACGGGTGGTCAAAATTGCAGCTTGGGTACTCAAGTGTTAAATAAGCGAAGCATGGACGGTGGCAACAATGCCCCTCTTGAAACGCCTTTCCTCTAAAGATACAGCAGGGAAACTGCTATAACTGGGGGAATACATTAAGTAGATCCTGCTTCTTGGCAACATTGTTAACTACCGTAATATATCCCCAAACCGGAAGTTTACATGCTGCGAATGCAACAGCGCATGACCGGATGCCTCAGAGTGAGCGCCACCTGTTTCCGCTCATTATGGACTGTCGAGTTGAAGCACATGGCGTGCAATGTTGTGTCCTGTACTCATGTACTGAACAAAGCCAATTAACATTGGTAGCAGAGCGTAACCAAAGAATTGGACACAGAAAGTGAAAGTGTGCGTATTGGTGACAGAAAATGGCTACTTTCTACAAAATGCCACCGAAGTTTGAAAGTCAAACGTATGACGAATGGAAGACTGAGATAGCAATATGGCGTACAATTACCGAACTGAAACCCGAAAAGCAGGCATTGGCGTTAACATTATCATTGTCAGGTAAGGCGAGAGACAAAGCACTAGATATACCAGCCAACGACTTAGATAATGAAAATGGAATGGATACGCTTCTTAATTTCTTGGATGGTGCATTCTTGAAAGAAAAGAAAGAAAGTGCATATGAAGCTTATTCAAACTTTGAAAATTCCAAAAAATTGGACAGTGTGAATATGACTGAATATATTTTGGAATTCGAACAGAGGTACAACAGGTCAAAAAAGTTTGATATGACTCTATCAGATGCAGTATTAACATTCAAGTTATTGGACAATACAAACTTAGAAGTAAAAGAAAGACAATTAGCACTCACAGCATGTGGAGATTTGTCATTTGCTTCCATGAAGAGTGCTATGAAAAGAATCTTTGTGGGTAGTATGAACCAGAAAACAGGAACAGAAGCTATCCAAATAAAACAAGAATCTGCATATTGGACCCAACATAAGTCAGGACAGAGGAAACGAGGTTATGACAAAAACCCTATGACAGGAACAGTTCAAGCTGAAACAACTCACAGAATAATGCACTAGCAAGAGGTACAAACCCTATCAATAAGTTTGGAAAACGTTCCCGATGTGCTGTCTGTCAGAGCACATATCATTGGGTAAAAGATTGTCCAGAGAAGAAAGAATCGGTTTGCTTTACAGAAGAAATTGATCCTGACAATGTGTGCCTGAGAATGTTGAACATTGTAACATCACATTGTTCACAAAAGAACAGAACAAGACAGAGTTTGAAATTTTTGTGGTAGAATCTCAGGGGTCAGCAATTATTGATACGGCATGCACCAGAACTGTCTGTGGAAAGAAGTCGCTTGAAAGTTTCATGTCTGAAATCGACCGCCAAGATAGAGATTTGGTAAAGAAGAAACCGAGCAACAAGGCATTCAAGTTCGGCGATGGAAATATTGTGTATTTTTATCTTGGTGAGTGATATCGTGTCTTCCACGGTCACGGTGACCCCCTGCAGACTGGTGTGGGAGTCGACACCTACCCGCACATAAACAGTGCAAACCTGATACTGGTGCCGTTTCACCCACCGGAGTTTGATCCCCTTCACGATTTCGACTTTATCCTGCGATGGTTCCCCTAGGTAGACTTGGATGAGCAGCGTGGAGTTCGCCGGTAGGCTCGCCAGGATGTTGACCACGCCTTCGAATTCAGACACCACCTGCAATGCCATGTTTTGTATCCTGGGCTTGCTCAACAGCATGTGGGCTGTAGCACTCGAGACTGGGCTGATGACTACGCTACGTCTCTGCGTCGGGACATAAGCCACGAGCAGAGTTCCGCTGTTCACGACTTTGTTTAGGTAGTTGTCTTTGTTTTCCGTGAACACGTAGGGGGAGCCGAGCCTAATGTTGAGAAACCAATCTACTCGAGAGGGTAACAACACCCACTTGTCGTCATCGGTGAAGACGAGGGTATACTGCTTGTTTCGGGCGACGGTCGTGCTCTCAACATCTTCTAAGTTGAACAGTTTGCCTCCGAACGATTGGGATACCGCCCATCTATCATCACCGATGCGGACTAGGTCAAACCGAGTGTTGAGGGCCGCTCCTCCAAGCCTCCACGACTGGGTGTGGCTTGACATTGACCGCTGAGTCAGTCTGTGTTCACGTTTCACGTGTACTACCAGGTCAGACGTATCCTCAAAGAGATCAGCACTCCGCTCCCCCAGGAAAAAGCATGGGATGCAGTAAACAACCCGTACGATAGACGGGCCTTTGAACGCGTTTGCAACAAATTCAAACTAGACCCAAAGACGGATTGGCGTTTGCCGGGCCCGAACCATGGGTTGGGCATCTCCATCGTTCACAACATGCCCCTCGTGGAAGCCAGCGAGAAGATGAAAGAAGGGGGGTACAAGTCGGATCATATCACAACAAACGAGTGGGATGACCGTTACATGGCTTTCGACAACAGCAAGGATTACCGAGTCTGGAGGTTCGAGCAGGGGCCCGCGGATGACTGGAAAAAGTTCATGCTGGACATGTCGAAAGGTTTTATTAATGCCGACATCGAACGCTTGAACGACTCGATTCGAACGTATGTGTGGGCCGTGCTGGGCGCTCAGTACTGCTTTAGACGCGCAGAA